GGAGTTTTAGGTTGGATTGCTCTTGAAGAGCTGAGTGACCCTATCTCTAAGGCATCAAATAAAAACGCTGCTTCAAATCGCTGCTGGACTTGGCCAAATTCAGGTTGGTTTATTTATTTATTTGTGTACGAACACTACTAGAAAACAGAGTATAATCGGCAGCTAATGACTATTAATTATACTTGGGTAGCTATAAAAAAAATACAAATTCCATAAAATCAAGAATTATATTCATAATTTTTTTCTTAATTAAATTATATATATAAGAAGAATCAAACGGAATTCAATACAACTATCAAGTCTCACATCAATATATTTATGAAATAATGTTAAGAATAATATAAGAAATAATAGATAAACATAAATAAAATTAAAATGAGAATTCTGACCTTATTTTGAGATCAATATTTCGCCAAGAAAAGAAAAAAAGGAAAAGAAAAATGCATTGGTATACATTATGATTTTATTAAAATAAAAGAAAATAAAAAGTACAAGTTAAATTTAAAAGAAAATTTTACCTCATAATCAAGGTAATAAAATCTGCAAAAAAAAAATATTAGTATATCAAATAATAAGAATTCTTAGTTAAAACTAAATTGAAGTAATTGATTGATGCATTAAAAAAAAATACATTGAATGAGAAGGATGAACAAAAAGAAGATGATGGATTGTTAACAAAAATGATAATGGAATATGTATAAATGAATAATGAAATAAAAGTAGAGATATTTGCAAAAATACAAATGGGAGAATATAAAAGATGAAAAGAAAGAGGGAAAACAAAAATTAAAATGAGAAGAAGTTGAAAGAAAAAATGGGATATTTTACCTGTGGGAAAGAATGTGAAGTGGAGAGAAAACTGAAGATGAAAAGGAGAAGGCAACGGGATGTTCTGGTTTTAGAGCCCTTATATAGTTAAAATATATTCGACAAAAATTCTGTTGATTATGTTTTAAATCTAATTAGCTAGGAGATTTAATTTTTTTGGGTTGAATGGGCGGGATTCGAGTATAATCGACAAC